AAATAGAGTTCTGTATGCAACGTCACTGCAAAAAAGATAAACTCTTAACTTAGATTAGCAGAATTAAAACAGTAGTGAAAACAACTCAGCTCTTGACTTGGGTCAACAGCTTGTAGGTAGCCTGGGATAGAACTCAAACTGTTAATCTGAGTTACGATTCATCAATTTGGCTTGTTTTTAGTTCTAATTTAAGATGAGTTAGCTAACATTTGAATTAGACTACCCAATTTAACACACACACACACACACACTTTTTTCTTCCCCCCAGTGAAGACAAAGCATCATTGTCCTTGGGCTTGTTAAAGATTTACATAATTATATTTTACTAACAGTTTTTTATTTCTAACAATTAAGACAGGGAGAGTGTGCTGATGAAAGGTCTCAGATTAGCAACTGTGAAAACTAAAAATCTCAGTGGGTAAATCAGCAATGACAGTTTCCTCATCTCATAAGGAAGAATATATACATTAAAAATTGTGAGGTACTTGGGTACTACAGTAGAAAGAAGACGACGACGACTACAGGAATCAGAGCCCTCTAAGCAACTTAGATAAATATTTACTCATCTACTCGGAATGAAACAAGAATCCCATCCCAAGAAGCTTCATTCAAGTTAAACCCCTTTTTGCTCTGATATTTCTCCTCCAGGAAGCTTTGTGATGGCTAAACCTCTTTCCCCCCACCAAGTAGGGTCACCATCTTACAACAAATGCATAGGAGAAAGCCAAAAGAAACCCAGCAACAGCAAGGATTTACTGGATACCACAGTAGGGAGCATCCGTCCCTGACTCAGTACAGTAACAATAGCTCAAATGGTTGTCAAGAGCAGATTTATATCGTCTTTCTTACATTCTCACTTCTGGTTTCTTTGCACAGGGGTGATGGTATAACTCACTTTTTCCTGTAAACTGTTGTTTTGTGCACTAATGGAGAAGTGTGGTATTGCATTAGTAGCACATCAAGGCAGTTCTAGTCATAAAATGTTTTGGGATGAAAGAAGCGATATCATTGTAAATTATCTACCTTCCTCTCTCCCTGCAATGTGTGTTAAACCCTGAGATGAACAGATTTCATAGTCATACATCTAAATGCAAACTTTTTAATTTTTGCAATGGACTGAAAAATCAGCACACCCATTACCAGTTCATATGGTCCTTTCCCTTTTGGTTGCCCATCTTTCTGAAAAGATCCGCTCCTAAGCTGCCATGCTGTATAAGCATACCTGGCCCTCAGTGGCGCTCTACATGCAGTAGACTGGATATTATGGCATGCAATAAATACTACGAAGCTAGAAACAGATTTTCTTTGATGATTTTGATTGCTCCATTTCTTTTAAGAAGAATGCACTCGAAGTTGTACCAGACCATCTCTTGGCACTTCTAACCAATGCACATATTGTTATGATTATGATTGGACTATTTGACTCCTGCATGGGGAGAGTTTGAAATGGTCCAAGACTGGCACCCATCAAAATATTTATGAACTTACTCAAGCTGTGTTAGCTAAAGTGGAAATGACACTACTGCAGTGTTTTCTCTCACACGTCAGAGAAGTGTTTCATGAACAAGATCAAAACAATTTAACTCTTTGTTTTTCCCTGTAGAGAGAGATTGAAATAATGCTAGATTGTCTATTTGTATTTAATAGATCTTTATGGCTTGTAGCCAAATCAGTTCAGTTTGCAACTGTAGAAGCTAAACATACCTAGACCTGGTGAGAATTTGGGCAGAGAACCAGCAGGGGAAGCCCAGGTACTACAGAAATTGGCATTACTGATCTAGTAGATGGCACAGCGCTCTTCCCTTGAGCTAGTAATGAGCCCCAGAACTGAGCCTAGGGCAGGGGTGAGCAAAATATGGCTCGTGGGCTGCATCCGGCCTGCAAGGCCATTCTATCTAGTCCACGGGGCCCCTAAAACATTTAGAAAATTAATATTTATCTGCCCTTGGTTCCTGTCAAAAATGACAGGATCCAACGGCAGTAGGACCCAGGGGAAGCCCGGCGGGCTTCCACAACAGCAGGGCTCCCCTGGCCCCGCCCCACCAACTGGAAGCCCCAGCAGGCGCTTCTGGCCTGGGACCACATGGTCACCCCACACCAGAACCACAGCTAAGGAGGAAGGGCATGGGAGGACCCCAGGGAAGGAAGGAGCCCAGGGAAAAGTGGCCCAGGGAAAAGCTGAGGGCGGGGGGGGGGGAAGCATCCCTGCCCTGTGCCCCACACCCCACCTGCTCAGCCCATGTGGGGCTGCCTGTGCCTACTTCAGACAGCCCCGCACGGGCTGTGAACAGCTGCAGCAGGGAGCGCTGCCTATGGAGCAGGGGAAGGGCTGCTTTTCCCTGCACTCAGCACCAGCTTCTTCCCTGCTGGCAAGCAGGGGGTCTGAGCTGTGCGCTGCCCCCCACCTGTACCGTGGGGCTGGGGGCACTGGGAGTGAGTAGGTGCAGGAGCCAACAGGAGCATGGGGTCTGCACTGGTATCCCAGGGCCAGTGCCGGCGGGGCCCAGAGCAGGGTGGCAGGAGCGCGGTGTCCCGGCTGGCAGGGGCTCTATGGAGCTGGGCCAGCTCCCTGCTCTCCCTGCTGGTACAGCCGAGCCCGGCTCCACAGACCCCTGCCAGCCTGTGACCCACTTTGGGGCCCACCAGTGCTGGCCCTGGACATTGGTCCCCAAGATGGTGACCAGGGGGTGGGGCACCTGTCAAGGGGTGGGGCTACCTATGTGGCCCTCGACAGCCTGCCAAAACTGGATAAGCAGCCCTCCGCCCAAAATAATTGCCCGCCCCGGTCTAGGGGGCAACAAGGATCCTATTTTTCAGATGTTTCAGTTAGATATGTGGCATTTACTTGAATCCAAGATGAGGATTTTCTCCGCAGTCTGTATGGGGGAAAAAAAGAGGACTCATTTTGGATTCGAGTATTGGCCTGGGGCAGGCAGCAGCTCAGCTCCAGCTTTGGCCTCAGGATCAAGGCTGATGCCAGAGCTGAGCTGATGCCTGCCCCAGACCAGGATAGCTCTAGCAGGGGAGGGGGCATGGACAAGGGAAACCTACCTGTGCAGCTTGGGAGGAGCACAAGGGAGACTGCAGCCTGCTCATCTCCTCCTCCACCCCAGCTGTCCCTTCTTCCCCTTCCCTTCTGCTCTGGCTCTGGTCCCTACAACCCCAACCCAGCCAGGAAACTGCCACTGCTTCTCCATGGCCAGAATAGGGCCACCACTGCTGCTGACTGCCCTGTAGCTGGAGTAGGGCTGCAAAAGCAGGTAAGCAGCAGATGGGTGAGGGGAAACAGGGAGCAGGGGTCAGGTGTAAGGAGCCAAGGGGGCAGGAACAAGCATGGAGAGCAGGTGGCAGGGGGGCAGGCAGCAGGGCAGACAAGTGGCAAGGGAGCAAGGAGCAGAGGTCTGGCCCTTCTAGCCCACCACTACTTTCCCCATCACAGAAGCAGGCGGGATGAATTTAAAACAACCTTCCACTAATTAGATTCTATACATGGAAAATTGTAACAAATTATGTATAGAATCTAGGTATGGGGGCAGGATGTCATCTTAAATTCAGAGTCATCTTGGATTTGGGTAAATACAAGATTATAATTCAGTTCTGTGGAAGGGAACAATGGGACTTGGGTTCCTAGTGCTTAGGTTCTTTTGAAGATTTCTTTGAGACAGCACTCCCTTGTTACTGTTAGTCGTTGACAGACTTTGCTACTGATCAGTTTCTTACAGTTCTCCAGGGACATCTTCAGACACATTCCAGCTTGTCAGAGGTTCAGAGTGTTCAGCATGTGCGTACGTTATTCATGAACATTGTTATAGTTAGACACCAATCGGTCAGATGGTATTGCTTATACTGCCCGATTGGATAACACAACCATAATGAAGAGTAGATCAATTCACTGGGCTTTTGATTTGCTTGGGATACAACACAGTAGCTTGTAGAGAAACAAATTAGAGCAAGAAGATCAGAAACTTTTAATAATGCCCCCCTTCCCCTCATATGAAGATGGATCCTTAGCCATGACATTACTGCTAGAAAGTTTTCACTTTGGTAATATAGAAACATGGGTTGCTTGCGGATGTAAAACAAAACAAAAAACACTTTAATGGAAGCACCATGTTACTTTAACCTGGCTTTGCATGTCAGTGCCTCAGTGAGGCTTTTTGGTGCTTTTAACTAAATTTTGAATTAAAATTTTGGGGGGTTTTTTTGGTTTTTAACATCCGGTGCAGCCATGAATTATATAGAAAATTATTTTAGTTAACTGGAAAGACCATGGCTAGGTATTTCTTTGATTTTTTTAAAACTATATCTAACCAGTTGAAACTACAAAAAGTATAATGTAGCCCAAGGCTTTAGGAATGCAGGATCTTGCTGTTGAGTCAGCAAACAAAAGGAATAAATGTGGTGCTTAAGTACTCTTATTGAGGTCTCCACTTTGTCAGCTGGTGCCCTACAATCACTGTGGCAATTCATAATAATGACATGAATAAGTAAGGCCAGTCCTAATTTCAGAGTAGTCAGATCTCATTTTCATTTATTTCAGGACTCTTTCCAAGAGAGTAAGAGGGGTTCTTATAGCAGTGTGGCATTACCATATAGTATCCTATATACATTAGGAATTCATATGATAGACCAAAGACTGTTTTTGAATTTGCTAACCTGTCATTTTGTAATTACCACAGTTATTGATAGCAATTGGGAGAGCACTTGGAGACCTTCTCTAAAACCCTGTTTCTCCATTGGAAGATACTTACTGCGGCCACTGTAAAAAGGAAAATGTTTTACAGTACTGCCCCAGGTTGCAGTAAGTTGGAATACAGGTAAAAGGGTGCAGCTCTAAAGGATTTTGTTTTGATGTTTTCCTTTTGAACAGTCACCCTTAATGTTCTGGTTTCAGACAGAGGGAGGTTTGCCAAATAATATATTTAACTCTGCCTTACAAACCTTCTGTGGAAAAAAATAGTCTATTCAAAATGGTAACTGAAAACAAATAAATCACAAAAAAGATGCACTGATTTATTTTTTTAATAAAATGAAGTGACAGTTTTCAATCATTAAAAGTCAGAAACAACTGGTCCATGTATGTATTGTGTGACATTATCCCAGTGATCTATCGATGAAGTGTGCCAGATGTATCACGTTAGAGAAACACACAATTCCATAATGAAAGGCTGTCCTTTGCCACAAAACATGCAGCTCTGAGAACTGTCATTGGATTTGCAAAGCACAATGGGTGCCTACCCATGTGCTTCTGGGTGGTGGGGGCATTTTAATTAGAGCGGCTCCCAGGACCAGTTGCAAATAAAACACCACAGCAGCTTGTTTATTCAGTGTCCCACCATTTTGAAGCACGGGACAGTGAATATGTGAGACACTGTGGCATGCTGCAGCTTTCTAATTAGAACGCTCCAGCAGATGCTATTAATTGAGTCTCGTCTGACATGTTCTAATCAGAACACATCAGAGCACATGTACAGGCACTCGATGCTTGGAGAGGTCCTCCTATTCCTGTGTATTTCCTCACCTGGTATATTTTTTTTTTAAATTCCTCCAAAACCAACAAGGCAAATTAGCCAGATATTGAAAGGCTCACAACACATTCTTACTGCAAGAAAATACTTTAGCTTTAGTCTACTGAACATTACAGAACGCATTTGTATTACAGAAAGTGTTGTATCAATGCCCATTTGCTTTCTGTGAATTTAAGGCAGCTATCATGGTAATGGTAATTAAAAAACTACTTAGAACAGCATCAGCCCCACTAGTGTAGTGTTTCTTTCTATAATGACTTTCATTTATTCTACCATCTACTAAGTTGCGCAAAGTTATAACTGATGCTGTAATTTCATAAATAGGTCCCACAAAGCCAGATGTTGAGAATTTTACTATAATTACTTTTTTTTAAAATGATAGTTACAATAAAAATATTAGAGAGACAGCTTTGCCATTTTCAATAACATTCCAATACCCAGTTTTACACCAATTTGTAAGATTACCACCTATGATATCAAAAAGAAGGTGACTGATGTTCAGGACCTAACTAGGTTTCAAAGTGGTTGAAAACAGTCAAAGCAATTTGTTGACACATTGAAAGAAAAGAAGTATCATATTGCCACAAAGGGAAAAAGAGCATAATCTGCAATAAAACCTAATCTGACCCAACAGCTTCTCAAGTAGGTATACAACTTCTCTGCACAATGTTTATGAATGTCGTAGTACTCCCTTTTTATAAACCACATTTCCCCACAGCACCATGATTAGTCCGGCATCAGTAAAGATATTTGGGGAAAACAGGCCTAATGAACAAGAAATGATTCGGACAAATAGCAACCACAAGTGAAGGATACTGACAAAAGACCACTACAAATAATCATACATCAACATATGTACAATAATAATAATAATGACATACACAAAGGAAGACAACTTAAGAGGACTGCACACTACTGAAACCACAGAATCATAAGGATAACCTACTGCATGCAAGTATGCAGTAAGGTATACCATCCATCACAGGCTACCCTATGTGAATACAATAGTCATGTATCAGTGCAAGCTGGAGAGTTGTCTTGGGTAGTGTTCACTGTTTGGTTTTGATTGTCCATATCTGAAAAGGAGTTGTTACAGGAATTTCCAGGCTGTACTGTTAACTGTTCTATCCCAGAAGCTTCATGGTCCATGCACTCATTCTCCTTTGCTGTAGCATGTGGAGCTGCATTTTCTACACCAGTCTGAGACGGACTTTGTACTTGGGCAGTCTGTCTCACTGCTTCTGTTTCCTGCTGTTGCAGCATCCGTTCTACCTCTATCTCAAGTTCCAGATTTTCTTCGTCTGCCTCCACCTCAAGCTGCTTCATTAACTCCTCCAGTTTCTTGGCCTTACGGAGTTCATTCTGCTGTATGATAGTGCAAAGGTGCTCAGTGAGGTGCTCCTTGATCTCAGTCTTGCGTTGGAGATCCAGCTTTGCTGCTACATATTCCGACTCTGCCTTGTCATATCGCTTCCTGCAAAAATAGGATTTCTATTATGCTATTCATCCTGAAGACTCACAACATGGTTTACAAAAAATTAGATGCTTGAATGGATACTTCATTTGCCCCTGAAATGCAGTCTCCTCTGAGGTGGATTATGACGCACAGAACATCACACGGGAACATTACTCAATATTTTTAAAAAAGAAAGAAAGAGACATTATGCCAACAGAAGAAAACCAGAGCATTAGATTCCCTGGTTGGTACATTCCAGAAATTAGCTCTCTAGCCCAAAATATAGAAATGGAATAAATGAAACACTTATTAGAATAGTTTTAAGAGATGCTTCACATATTCCAATGGGCAATTAACTGCTCAGAAAGCACCAGAATTGATTCATGTTTAAAATTTACTGATCAGCGATCAAAAGACACAAAGCTATTAAAATTGGTAGTGTTTCCATTTCAAATCTTCTCTAAAAAGTGTGCTTTCCCATCTTTGCAAACACCCACACAACAAAGTGACTTGTAAAATAGACTGCCTCACCACCCAATGATCACAACTGTTGCATAGCACTGGATGCAGAATTGTGTCATAAGTGCCAACCATGCTTACAATCCTCATACTGTCATGACAAATATTCTAATGAAAAGTGACTTTTTTATATTTACTGAGATAACTAAATATAGCACTTAGTTAATGTGAATACACCAGCATCAGCACAGTACAGCATTTTCAAACATGATCAAGACAACTATATAGTCTAACCCCTGGCCTAGTTGGTTTTCAACCAGGGGTACACGTACCCTTGGGGGTACTTGGAATGGCCTCAGGGGGTACTTGGCAGCTGGCACTGCCACCATGGTCATCAAATCAGCAGCAAGAGACCCCTCCCCTCCCCTCCCCCCCCCC